GAGGAGGAGGAGGACATGATCTTTGCCTTCTAGCCATCGCTTGCAACCCCAAGGAGGAGATGGCGGATGTGCTTGCTTCCAAGTATGTGCGCAAGGCATCAGAATTCCCGTCCTCGCGCTCTGATGAGTTTCGGAACAACGTCAAGGCTGTCATGGAGAGTCCACTCCGCCCCTGGGGGAACCCTCCTCTGATCCCCGATGATGTTCCTCTCCTACGGTACTCCTCTTCTCCATTTTTCTCCCTCGTCCGCTCCTCCTCCATCTTTTCTTCCTTCCCTTCCCTTTTCACTCCTACGTCGTTGACTCCCCAGCCCTAGTCTCATCCTCGTTCTCTCCTCCTCTCTATCTTCCTTTGTCCTGTCTTGCCCTCCCTCTCTCCCTCCCCTCCCCTCAAATCGGCCCCCTCCTCTTGCTTTTTCTCTTTCCGACGCTTCTCATTTTCACCGCAGTCACGATGTCGGGTTCAGCTTAGCCTTTGAACTTCCCGATCCCTTTCTCTTCGGCGACAAGGTTTTTAGCTTACTGCACATATGCTGCTGCTCCTTCTCCGTCTACCCTCCTTCATTCCTCCTCTGCCTCCAAGCTCCCTTTTTCTCATCCCCCGAAATCCCAAGAAATCAACCCAATCTCTTCCTCTCCTCTCCTCTTCTCTCTTCTCCTCTCCTCCCCTCCCCTCCTGCACTGGTGTACTCTCTCCCCTTTCTCCTCCCCTTCTTTTGTACCTCCCAATCCTTTCCCTTTCCCCTCAACTTCCTCTCACTCTCCTTGCAGCCCTTGGCTCCTGTGAAGCGAGAGCGCGTGCTCGAGCCGGGAATCTATGCAGCCTCAGCAATCAGCGGACTCTTCTGCTGCTCCATTATGCACGCTATCACAGTTCCTGTGGACGTGGTGAAAACGAGGATGCAATCTCCTTCTTTCAAGGTCCTCCTCCTCCTTGCTTTCCTCCTCTTTCTTCCTTTCCTCTCCTCCTCCTATTTCCTTTCCACCTTCCCTTTCTCCTCCGCTTCTTCCCCTCTTTTCTCTTTCCGAATATCGATTTCTCCTCGTTTGACTCATCTCATCCTCCCTTCACCCCTCTCCTCCTCTCATCGATCGCTCTCCTCCGCTCCTCCTCCCTCACGAGATGTCAGGGGAAGTACAAGGGGCTGCGGCAGGGGCTGCAGACGCTGAAGAAGGAGGAGGGGATGAAAGGACTCATGCGCGGCGCCTGGCCGACGGTCGTCGGGTACTCGTGGTATGGCCTGACGGTCTACCCGGGATATGAGATGTTCAAGCGGATGTTTATCGCCATGGCCGGTGCGAGGAGGAGGGAGGAGGGAGGGAGGGGGA